ATAGACACACCTACTTATAAGTAGACTAATGATAGTCTTGTAATGAGGGACAGTATATAACATAACCAACTAATCACCAACACCAAACCTCCATATCCGTATCCATATCCATATCCATATCCAATTTTGATGGAATATGGAACTATGCATAAGACTTATACTTTGTTTCTGTCTATGCAGCACTATGATGGTGATATCAAGGACCTCGCATTGGATTTTACAGTTACTGAAGAATCATTAGGGAAACACCTTGTCATTGAGCTTAAACCTGGTGGCAAGGATATTTCTGTAACAAAAGAGAACATGTTGCAATATGTTCATGCAATGGCAGATTTTAAACTTAATCGGCAGGTCTGGATATTTGTGCTCCAGCATTGAGATGCCCATTTTCTGGTATTAGTGACTTATTGTTTCCAGCACGCAATTGCAGATACTTCCTTTCTCAAATGCATTTTATAGAGGATTGACGGACCTTATATCGCCTTCTTGGTTAAAGTTGTTTAATGCAAGTGAATTTAATCAGGTATAATTACCTCTGTGCATATCTTAGCAGAACTTCATTTTCAGTTTTAGTAGCTTTTTGTACAATTTTCATACCCTTTTGTTCACCCCTTCCACATATACGATAGTAGGTTATGGCTTGACTCTTCATGTTAGCTAGACCTAGGAGGTGGTAAGTAGATCAAAATCTGTGTTACATGGACTCTTCATTTGGCTTATTGTAATTGTATCAAACAGGTGAGGTATGGGTATGAGTTCGGATCCTTCAAAACACAATAAAACCTCCTAAATGAAATCTACCTGTATGGATAGTACCGAAGTTGTATTGGATTCATAACCATGTTTGTCACCATGTGAAATAGATATTGATTTCATACCCTATGATTTTATTATTCTAGCAAAATGGAGGTGGATATCTCTCTGGATCCACTTGTGATTTATTGCAGATGCATATATACTTGCATGTGTATGTAGTTGAAGTGTGTTTGTGTGTGCAAGAGATTGGGGGTGGGGGGGATGGGCTTGCTAATTGGTTTATTAGCTACATATGCACTCACTATGTCATCCTACCATCAATCCGATGAATTTCGTTGCCCCCACGACTTTGATCTAGTGGTAAGAGCACAACTCATGATGTGTGGGTTAGGCACACCTCACAGGTTTGAACCCTACCACAGACAAAAGCCTACAATTTAAGTGGAGAAGGATAGAGGGATGAGCCCATTATCCACCGAGTTTTGAACCTTACGCTACTTTTCTCAACAACCCAGTAAAAATCCACATGTGGGGTCTGGGGAGGGTAGAATGTACGCAGACCTTACCCCTACCTCGGAGGGGTAGAGAGGCTGTTTCCGAAAGACTTACGCCACTTTTCTCGATTATCAAAAAAGATATTCAAAGAATTTTATTGTATTCCTCATGCTGTATGTGATTCTACTATCAACTGACCTCTCCTTGATCTTTCAATACTAGTTTTGGGCTCATCCATTTAACGAGGATTGGTTTGTCATGCTTGTAAATGCCAAATGCATCAGCCACACCTCTGCTATTTTTTGTTTTTTCTTTTTCTTTATCTTATCTGGTTCTCTACATTTCTCTAATGATTGAGGAAGTTATGTGACATGACATACAGACAATAGAATGAAAGGCATAAACAAACTACGTTGAATGCATATGCTTTGTTGAAAGCCGCATGTGCCACAAAGGCTTTCCTTTGCTGGACTGCATGCTTCTGTATCAGCTAATCCAAAGTGTATATCCAGTTGCTTTCAGGAGGAAACCATGATATTGACATTGATGATTTAAGGAAAAACACACGCTATACTGGAGGTTACTCAGAAGGGAGTCGGACAGTTAAACTCTTTTGGGAGGTAGACATGAATTTTCCCTCTCTTTTTTCTTGTTATTTTATGAAACTACAAACGTCATTTCGATCAGTTGAATTTTCTCTCTCCTCCTCTTCTTTCTTGTTATCGTATGAAACTACAAATGTGATTTCCATCAGTCTACTTGAACCATCTCAAATGAACATCTCTCAACATTAAGGAACTTGATCTTAGCAGAGATCTTTTATTATTTTGTATTATCTAACCATATGTATGCGTTTGTGTTTAGGTATTTTCGAATTTTGAACCAAGAGAACGGTGTTTGCTGCTTAAGTTTGTGACAAGTTGTTCGCGAGCTCCGTTGCTTGGATTCAAACATCTGCAGCCAACCTTCACTATTCACAAGGTATGAGCCT